GCACCAGGCACCATGCTGGGGACACAATGCATAGAAGACACAGCCCCTGCCCCTTTTAGAATGGATTAAGAAAATTATGGATCATGTCAAATGTCATGGTGGGTGTACAGAGCTGCTAAAAGAACATGTGCACTAAATCTGGGAGAATACTTGTTATGCTTAAACCCCAGGAGGTGAGGAGGAAGGGCAGAGGAACAGTATGTGCAAAGCCATGAGGACCCCCAGTATGTCTGAAGAAATGACAGAATCCAGTGGGAGCCTGAACCCAACAGAACCAGAGGGAAGAACCGTAGAGAAGTGTAAGAGGGAAGGAGGGGCACCCACCAGGCTGTGTGTGTACCGCTGACCACATACTCAGGACTTTAGACAACAACCCTGGAAAGGCTCCAGGATTTCTAAGTAGGAGAGTCTCGTGGCAGCTTTGCCTTTAAAAGACCACTCTGGCCACAACATGAAGAATGAATTAGAAGCCAATGTGGGGTGCAGTACGGATGTAGGCAAACAAGTTAAGGATTACCGTAGCATGTTTTTGCCATGACGGGCTCTCCAATAGTGCAGAGGCAGAGGCGAATGTGAAGCCTCTGGCCCTTTTCCCATGAAAGACACACAAGAACTCAAGTTCACATACCTCGAGGAGAAAAAGGAGTAAAGCTACACTAAATAAAACATGTATGTTGTTAAGGCTGCTGCTGGAGATGGTGGCTCACACCTGACTAATGCCAAGTGATAAGAGGTAGAATGGAAGAGCCAAGGGATTTACTGAGGGGCAGAGAAAGGAAAAATGAGAGACAGGAGGCAGGAAGAACAGGAGAGAGAGCGAGCGAGCTACACACAGACATGGGGAGAGAGTCTGGCAAGTGTGCATGCAAAGGAGATGACTCCAGGTGACTGATCTGACAAACAGGGTGGCCAGTGCTGCGCCACTTACTGCGTAATGAGCAGGAACAAGAAAGGGAAGGGGAAGAGTTAGAGGCAGAGAACTCTGAGTCCGTTCTCAAGTATGGACACTAAGAAATGAGATCTACTCACTGATTTAATAGGAGTTTGGTAAGTTCCATGTAGTACGGGCTTAGGCATCGGGGTGAAAGTTTCTTCCTTCCGTTCATGATCCCTCATCTTTTCCAACTTTCTGAAATTCAATACATTTTATAGTCATTATAACCAAATATTCAATAAATTTGGAAGGTTTAAAAATCTGTTACCTACTTGATTGACTAGCAAATACATGAAAACACTTTTTGAATAACATTTGCATAACTATATAGATAATTTGAGGCCTTCTCTTCAAAAATTTCTGTAAGAACAGTAAGGTTCTGTTGTGCTTGCCTGCAGAGTAGATTCCTGATTTTTTGATGAATAAGTGATCCAAGCAATCAGTGATCAAGAAACACATTAGGCCGGGCGCTGTGCTCACGCCTGTAATCTAGCTTCTTGGGAGGCGGAGCGGCAGATTGCTCAAGGTCAGGAGTTCAAACCAGCCTGAGCAAGAGCGAGACCCCGTCTCTACTATAAATAGGAAGAATTAATTGGCCAACTGATATATATATATAAAAAATTAGCCGGGCATGGTGGGCATGCTGTAGTCCCAGCTACTCAGGAGGCTGAGGCAGAAGATCATCAAGCCCAGGAGTTTGAGGTTGCTGGAGCTAGGCTGACGCCACGGCACTCACTCTAGCTGGACAACAAAGTGAGACTCTGTCTCAAAAAAAAAAAAGAAACACATTTATACTAAGCTTTGTTCAGAAGGGAGCAAGACAACTCACAAACTGCAGCCACCCTAGTCTGGCATGAAATGGTATCTGAGGGGTTAAAGCCAGGATCCTGAACAGACAGTTGGTCCAGTTCCGCCCAGCATCACCTCCATTCTCATGTACGCCAACACCCTCGCTCCGTCTTACTGGCTGTGAAATTCCCAGCCCCAGGTGTGGACTGTGAGGTGTGGGTAAGGACACACAGGGACACGACTCTGCTGCAAGGTCCCATTGAAAGGATTGCCCACCCATCTCCAGGGCCCTAGGTGCCATCCTACAACCCTCACACTTCCCTGGTCCACTGCCCCTCCTCTATTGCCACACTCCTCCACCATGGCCCAGTCCTCACCTGACACCTTGCTGAATGTGCCTGCACTCCCACCCCCGCATTGTTCCCACTCACTCAAGACAGCCTGCCAGATGCGCCCTGGACCTGCCACTCACCTGCACAGGAACACACTCCTGCAGCTCTCAGGCTTTTGAATGATCACTGTCCCTTACTGCTTGATCTTCAAACACACTAACATCTCCATCTTACAAAGACCCTCCTCTGACACAAAATCAGCTACCAATGCATTTGTCTCAAAAAAAAAAAAAAAAAAACAAAACAGAGAGAGAGAGAGAGACTCGCTTTGTTGCCCAGGCTAAAGTGCCGTGGTGTCAGCCTGGCTCACAGCAACTCCAACTCCTGGGCTCAAGCGATCCTCCTGTCTCAGCCTCCCAAATAGCTGGGCTACAGGCATGCGCTACTGTGCCCGGCTTTTTTTTTTCTATATATATTAGTCGGCCAATTAATTTCTTTCTATTTTTAGTAGAGACGGGGTCTCGCTCTTGCTCAGGCTGGTTTCGAACTCCTGACCTGGGGCAATCCGCCCGCCTCGGCCTCCCAGAGTGCTAGGATTACAGGACAGAGCCACCGTGCCCGGCCAACGAATGCTTCTTTAAAGGTCTAATTTTTATTTAAAGCAAGTTGAAATATCTAAAAGCAAAGTACGAACTAAAACTTTCAGACACTCAAAAACTGGCCGGGCGAGGTGGCTCACGCCTGTAATCCTAGCACTCTGGGAGGCCGAGGCGGGTGGATTGCTCGAGGTCAGGAGTTCGAGACCAGCCTGAGCAAGAGCGAGATCCCGTCTCTACTATAAATAGAAAGAACTTAATTGGCCAACTAATATATATAGAAAAAACTAGCCGGGCATGGTGGTGCATGCCTGTAGTCCCAGCTAATTGGGAGGCTGAGGCAGGAGGATCGCTTGAGCCCAGGAGTTTGAGGTTGCTGTGAGCTGGGCTGACACCACGGCACTCACTCTAGCCTGGCGAGACTCTGTCTCAACAAAGCGAGAACTCTGTCCTCAAAAAAAAAAAAAAAAAAAAAACGAACATGACATTAGTATCCGCGGTCAGCAGACAGATGAGAGGTGAATCTGGAACCAGTCATTTCAGCTGATCAGTGGCTAATGGAGCAGCTGGAATATGGGCCAGATCAGGAATAAGTCCCCATGCCCCTGCCCGGTGGGAGAGGGTGTCACCCCAAACCAGCCTCCACCCCATCCTTACCTACATCCATCCACTCTGGAGGGAGCAACCGACATTTCTGTCTTTGTTTCAGGTTAATTGCCAACCACAGAGGCACCTCCACCGGCAAACCAGGGTTAAAAGGCCCCAGGTCCCCCTGCCAAATGGGAAAACAATTCCCGGTAAGTCAAAAAACAAACAAACAAACAAAAAAACAAAAAGCATCACCGTACCCCGTTGCTATCAAATAATTATCAAGGCAGTGCATAACCTGAAGTCCAAATAAGCAAACGCCAGCTGTTACCGCAGACGGCCGGAAGGCACCTCCCAAAGCCCTGCGGCCACGTGGGCGCAGTCCTCCCTGACACCGGGACTTCCCTGAAGGCCGCGGACATCGCACACACCTGCGGTCACCTGCGAAGCGCTTAGTTGAGCCAAGGCACGCGATGGCCGCACCTCTTCCCGCCCCCGCGACCTCCCTTCCAGAGCGGGCCTCGAGCGCGGGCCTCCGGCGTCGCGGGGCGCGGACCCGAGGGGCTTCCCTGTCCCAGAAGCGAAGTCCGGCTCTCGGAGCCTCGCCTCCCTCGCCCGGAAAGCCGGGGCCGGGGGCGCAGGTGCACCGCCCCGAGCAGGTGGTTTCCGCAGGAGCGGGGAGCGCCCCGAGCCCCACCACGCCCCCGACCCCGGCCGGCCTCCCCGAGGGACCGGACCCCGCGGCCCCAAACCCGGGCCGGCCTCCCTGAAGGGCCGGACCCCGCGGCCCCAAACCCGGGCCGGCCTCCCTGAAGGGCTGGACCCCGCAGCCCCGCGGCCCCAACCCCGGCCGGCCTCCCTGAAGGGCCGGACTCCGCAGCCCCGCGTCCCCAAACCCCGGCCGGCCTCCCCGAGGGACCGGACCCCGCGGCCCCAAACCCGGGCCGGCCTCCCTGAAGGGCTGGACCCCGCGGCCCCGCGGCCCCAACCCGGGCCGGCCTCCCTGAAGGGCCCGACCCCGCGGCCCCAACCCGGGCCGGCCTCCCTGAAGGGCCGGACCCCGCGGCCCCAAACCCGGGCCGGCCTCCCTGAAGGGCCGGACCCCGCGGCCCCAAGCCGGCAGACCTCCCCGAGAGGCCCGAGCTCCCGCCCGGAGTCCGCCGGCCCCGCCGCCCTTACCCCGATGAGGTAGATCTTATCCAAACTGAAGTTCGGGATAATGGTAACCAGCTCCTTCTCGGCCAGAAACTCCACCTCGGCCGCGTCCATGGCGGCGCAAGCTGCCGGCCGGACACTCCGCCGTCTCCTCAGGCCCCTCGGCGTCCGGGAGGAGACGCCATGGCCGCCGCTTTCCCGCCACAGCGCGCAAACCCGCCCCCGCCGGAAGGCGGCCCGCGGCGGCCTATGAGGACGCGGCGCTCTCCGCGGGGCGGCGGGAGGCGGAGCCCGCGGTTGCTACGAGCCCGTGGATTGGCGCGTCTGAGAGAGGCTGCGCGCCGGCCCCGCCCCCACAGGCGCTGAGCACCTGGAGCTGCGTCTGGGGTCCCTTCACCTGCCCGGGCGCCCACCTGTCAACACCTGAGTCAGGAGCTGGGGCGGAGCTCGAGGCCGCGTCTACACCAGCGTGCCCCATCGGGCCAGGAGTAAATGCATTTAGCCCGGACACGGGGTGACCTGGCCAGATGGACACCGGAGTTGAGGAAAGACGTTTCGTCTCGTTTCATTATCTTCTGCCCTCTCTCTACACACACGGGTTAAAAATGTGCAAAAGCGCAGACTCCTCCACCCCACCCACCCCTTCCAGTGCATGCAAACCCTTCAGAGAAGCAGCTGAGCGTTTGCACGTGGGCGAGCACCCAGGCCAGGCCCGAGTGGACACGTGCCGGTGGCCCAGGTGCTCGCTGAACCCCACGCCCTCCGTGCACGGGCGAGCGAAACCAAACTCACCTGTGTCACAGTCCCTCCTGGGGAGCCATGATTCAGCAGTGGGGTGAGGACAGAAAGCTGAGTTTTAACCAGGGCCGGGGGGATTTTGATGGGCAGGTAACGGGGCCAGGAAAGCTTCCTGGGAGGTGAAGTAGCTGGTCTTAGACTGCACTCAAATGTGAAACCTCGACCATTCGGCCCTGAGAAAACTCATAGGGAATGCATGCATGCCAGGGTTCAGTATCCTGCAAAAATCCATTCCACCCCAGGTACCTGGAGCTCTCTTGCTGGACTCCCCCATGTTGTTGGGAAGGTGAACTAAAGGTATACAGTTAGGTTCTGCCCGCTCACACGGAAAGATACATCTGTTGTTTATAAGCCTTGGAAGTTGTCATTTACAGACTTGGAGATTTTACTATGCGTTACCTTCATTATTAAGACAGATATGCTCAAAGAAAATAAAAGGTCACTCTGGATGCTATATGTGACCACTTTGAACCTCAGTCTCTCCATCTTCAAAATAAGGTAGGGAGAAGAGGAGGAGCCTGGAGTGTTCTGGTAGGAGTGGAAGCTGCGGGCCACCTGGCCCCTCCCAAAATAGAAACTGCCTCAGGCGGCTGCAGAGAGAGACAGCCAGTTTGTCTGGGTTTTGATTGATGAGGGAGTGTTTTCTTGACTGGCAAATATTTGTGCTCCAAAGCTGGCGAGGCCTCCCTTCCTGATTGGTGCAGTCTGTAAAAGAGGGAAGGAGAAGAGCTGATGAGGAAGCCAAGGTTCAGAGAGGCTGCGGTGGGCTGGGCAGGGGAGCCCCCAGAGCCCGAGTGCCCCCGCCACGGAGTCCCAGTGTCCTTATCTGTGAAGTGGGGACCGTGCTGCTGCTGGCCTCGCCGGACATTTGGGAGAACAAGTTGGGACAGTGTGCACGCAGGTTTACAGACTGCAAAACGGTGGCGCCTCAAACTTGAGCGTGCATAGGAATCACCTGGGGGGGGTTGTTAACGACAGTCTTTTCCTTCCTGGTAGCACGATGCACAATGGCCCAAACTCAGAAACCACCCTGTGTCCATCACCTGCTGCCTGCGTAAACGAAATGGTGCATTTCCATTCGGCCACAAATCGTAATGAAGTGGCCAGACGTGGTGGCTCACGCCTAGCTCTCTGGGAGGCCGAGGCGGGCGGATTGCTCGAGGTCAGGAGTTCAAAACCAGACTGAGCAAGAGCGAGACCCCGTCTCTACTATAAATAGAAAGAAATTAATTGGCCAACTAATATATATAGAAAAAATTAGCCGGGCCTGGTGTCGCACACCTGTAGTCCCAGCTACTAGGGAGGCTGAGGCAGCAGGATTGCTTGAGCCCAGGAGTCTGAGGTTGCTGTGAGCTAGGCTGACGCCACGGCACTCACTCAAGTCTGGGCAACAAAGTGAGACTCTGTCTCAAAAAAAAAAAAAAAAAAAAAAAAAAAAAATCGTAATGAAGTATCGGTACCTACTGCAACATGGATGAACCTCAGAACATGACGCTAGGTGAAATAAACCAGACCCCCCCAAGTCCACATGTTGTATATTTCCATTTCTATGAAACGTCTAAAATAGGTGCTTAGGGCCAAGCGCGGTGGCTCACGCCTATAACCCTACCACTCTGAAAGGCCGAGGCAGAGGATTGCTCAAGGTCAGGAGTTCAAGACCAGCCTGAGCAAGACTGAGACCCTGTTTCTACTAAAAATAGAAAGAAATTAGTTGGCCAACTAAAAATATATGGAAAAAATTAGCCGGGCATGGTGGTGCATGCCTGTAGTCCCAGCTACTCGGGAGGCTGAGGCAGGAGGATCGCTTGAGCCCAGGAGTTGGAGGTTGCTGTGAGCTAGGCTGATGCCATGGCACTGTAGCCTGGGCAACAAAGTGAGACTGTCTCAAAAAATAAAATAGGTACTTAGAAAGTAGATTGATGGTTGCCAGGGGCTAGGGGGCCGGTAGAACAGGGAGTGATTGTTAATGGGTAATATGGTGCTTCTTTCTGGGGTGATAGAAATGTTCTGGAATTAGATAGTGGTGACGGTTGCACTCTGTAAATATACCAAAACCCACCAAATTGTACACTTTAAAAAGGCGAATTTTAGAGTACGTGAATGATGCCTCAATAAAGCTATTTTTTAAAATGCCCCTCTCTAAGGCCCAGGCTCCGACTTCCTGACTGAGGAGTCTAGGATACACCTGGGCATTCCGCACACCTCGGTTCCTCAGGAGGTTTTCATAATTGAGAACACTGGTCTCCAACTGCTGACCTTGAGCGATCCGCCCGCCTCGGCCTCCCAGCGTGCTGGGATGACAGGCGTGAGCCACCCCGCCCGGCCTCATAATTGGGAACACTGGGAAGCGATCTGCCCCCATCTGCGCCAGCTCTGAGCCAATCCTAGCAGCCAGGCTGTGAGCTCCGGAGGGGCCTGCTGAAAGCACGTCCTCCCGCCCGGCCTCTCTGAGTGCAGGAACCAGTCAACAGATGAGAAGAAAACTAAAGGGGCTGGAACCGCAGAGCTGAGGGTGCTGCTTAAGCTGGGGTGGTCAGGGCCCTACACCATTACTGCCTGTTCTGAAGATGCCTCCCCTAGAAGGCTAAAAGGACCCATGTGGGAATGAATTAGGGTTGTAGACGTCAGTATGAACTCGTGTTTAGCTTAATGTAGATACTGATGGATGCATATAGAAGTATTTTTGTTTGAGACAGAGTCTCGCTTTGTTGCCCAGGCTAGAGTGAGTGCCGTGGCGTCAGCCCTCCAACTCCTGGGCTCAAGCCATCCTCCTGCCTCAGCCTCCCGAGTAGCTGGTACTACAGGCATGTGCCACCATGCCTGGCTAATTTTTTATATATATATTAGTTGGCCAATTAATTTCTTTGTATTTATAGTAGAGACCGGGTCTCACTCTTGCTCAGGCTGGTCTCAACTCCTGACCTTGAGCGATCCTCCCACCTCAGCCTCCCAGAGTGCCAGGATTACAGGCGTGAGCCACCGCACCTGGCTTTCATTTTATTTTTAATTGAAAAACAATTGTATATGTTTATGGGGTACATGTGATGTTTTAATACATGTATGCATTGTGAAATGATCAAATCGTGCCACTTAACATATCATCTCAAATACGACTTCTCGTTTAAAAGAACATTTGAAATCCACTATTTTAGCTATTTTGAAATATACATTATTATTGGCTACAGTCACCCCGCTGTACAAGAGAGCACCAGAACCTATTCCTCTGACTAGCTGAAACAGTGCACCCTTCCACCAACATCTGCTCCCCCGGCCCCGGCCCCTGGTACCCACCATCTACCCTCTACTTCTGCGAGCTCAAATTGTGTACACTCCACACATGAGTGAGATCATGCAGTGTTTGTCTGCACCTGGCTTATTTCACTTACTATAATGTCCTCTAGGCTTGCCCATGTTGTCACACATTGCAGAATTTCCTGCTTTTTAAAGACGGAATAGTACCCTATTGTCTGTGTGTGTGTGTGTGTATATAGATGTATACACTACTTTTTTTTAATAAGTTTTTTTTGAGACAGAGTCTCACTCTGTTGCTCCGAGTAGACTGTCGTGGCATCAGCCTAGCTCACAGTAACCTCAGACTCCTGGGCTCAAGCGATCCTCCTGCCTCAGCCTCCCAAGGAGCTGGGACTACAGGCATGGGCCACCATGCCCGGCTAATTTTTTCTATTTTTACTAGAGACGGGGTCTCGCTCCTGCTCAGGCTGGTCTCGAACTCCTGAGCCTGAGCGATCCTCCTGCCTCGGCCTCCCAGAGTGCTGGGATTGCAGGCGTGAGCCAGCTCACCCGACTCCACGTTTTAAGATCCATTCATTCCCTGATGAGCACTCAGGATGAGTCATCATCTTGGCTATCGTGAATGATGTTGCCATGAAGGTGAAGTGCAGACATCTCTCCCACATACTGATCTCAATTCCTGAGGATACACATGCCCAGAAATGGGACTGCCGGCCTAGACGTGTCTGTGGACGTGTGCGCATACCCCTTGCGTACAGTCAGTGCTCACGCACCTACCTCCTTGCTGCGTCCACCGGGAGGCCTGGAAGAGACAACGTGCAGGGCAGTGAGCACACCCACGCCCGGGTCTTGTTTTCTGACGCCGTTCTCGACAAAAGGAGCCGGGGCTCCCCTGAGAAAGGGGACATGGCTGGGCCCGGGCCTGGGCAGGGAATACACCAGATGGAGGTAAAGCACCTTGTCCTACCAGAGAGCACACACACACACAGACACAAAACCCACCACGGCGAGCACACATCAGAGGGGCCCAGGGGCCAACAGAAAGAGCTCCCAAACCATTTGGGCACCAAAACGTTTACTGCTGGATCAGTATGCAAAGTGTAAAACACATATTGATGAGTGCGTGCTGACATAAAGGACTGAATAAATAAATAAATGGGGGCAGAGAGACAAGTCACCTGTGCGAGAGTCACCTCCGCGGCAGGTATGTAGGTCCTTCTCCCGCAGGGCAGTGGCACGTGAGCGCTCAACACCTGCAGCTCGGGCTGCACCGTGACATCCTTCTGAAGAGCTAGGTCAGGGAAAGGGGGAGACAGGAAGGTCACGGTGGGGGAGCCTGACAAACACCTCGGCCAGGTGAAAAAGGTAAACACCGGCAAGGATAAGTGACGGTGACGGCATGTTCCCCTAACACATGGAACATACAGTGGTGACACTTTACCTCTGGGGACTTCCTCCACCAAAAACCCAAGGCCACTCTCTAATCAAGAGGAAAACGGCTGGCTTCAGTTGGGGGGCGCTCTGCAAAACACCTGGGCAGGCCTCCAAACTCTCAAGGTCATCAAAAAACAAGGAAAGTCCGAGAAACTGCTAGAGCCAGGAGCAGCCTAAGGAGATGCGAAGACTAAACGTCCCCTGGGATCCCGGATGGAACCCTGGGAAAGAAAAAGGATATTAGGGAAAAACTGGGGAAATCTGAATAAAGCAGGCAACTTTAGCTAATAATATGCCAATATTGGCTCATTAATGGTGAGAAATGGGGCGGGCCCGGTGGCTCACGCCTGCAATCCCAGCACTCTGGGAGGCCGAGGCGGGCAGATCGCTCCAGGTCAGGAGTTCGAAACCAGCCTGAGCAAGAGCTAGACCCCCGTCTCTACTAAAATAGAAATTAATTGGCCGACTAAAAATATATAGAAAAAATTAGCCGGGCATGGTGGCGCATGCCTGTAGTCCCAGCTGCTCGGGAGGCTGAGGCAGGAGGATCGCTTGAGCCCAGGAGTTTGAGGTTGCTGTGAGCTAGGCTGACCCCACGGCACTCACTCTAGCCCGGGCAACAGAGTGAGACTCTGTCTCAAAAAAAAAAATAAATAAATAATGAGAAATGAGTGAGAAATGTACTACAGTAATGTAGGGTTAAAAAACCCTACAGTAATGTAGGGTTAAAGAAAAAAAAAAGTGAGAAATATACTACAGTAATGTCGGGTTAACAACAGGGAAAACTGGGTGAAGAGTATATGAGAACCCTCTTCACAACCTCTCTGTAAATCTAAAACTATTCTAAAATAAAATTTATTAAAAAAAAAGACTTCCCCCTGGTCCCCACCTAGACACCTAAAATACCACTGAAGCTGTGAACCTAGCAGCATAATCAGTATTACAATATCTTTTTGAGTTAAAATTTAGACCAACCAAATAATTCTCAAAAAATGAGCCATCTCCTTGGACATTTTTTTTTGAGGACAGAGTCTCACTCTGTTGCCCAGGCTAGAGTGAGTGCCGTGGCGTCAGCCTAGCTCACAGCAACCTCAGACTCCTGGGCTCAAGCGATCCTCCTGCCTCAGCCTACCAAGTACCTGGGACTACAGGTGTGAGCCACCAAGCCCGGCTAATTTTTTCTATTTTTGGTAGAGACGGGGGTCTCACTCTTACTCAGGCTGGTCTTGAACTCCTGAGCTCAACCAATCCTCCCAGCCTGGGCCTCCCAGAGTGCGAGGATTACAGGCGTGAGCCACCACGGCCGGCCAGCTACCTTATTTCAAAGCCGTCCTCTTTCGGCAGGGATGGGACTGGCCTGTGGCTGAGCTGTCCACGGCAGGTACCAACGGCATGCGGAAGTGGAGCCTCCGCAGCGCGGCCCGAGCGAGCAGGCAGCTGCTGGGGCCTGGGGGCCTCTGAAGGGCCGCTCTGCCTTCGTGCGTCTGACTTTTGGGCTGGCAGCGCGTGGGATGAGGACCGCCCACCGCTGCACCTGCCCAGGTAATCCTGGGTTCAGCATATTTGGGAGGCACCTGTGCTACGCCTGCAGCGAGGGTGTTCATTCAACCCTTGATTAGTCTACCTCGAGGTCCAGATCTCTTTCACATGGGTTTCTTTTTCTGTCTTTTTTTTTTTTTTGAGACAGAGTCTCGCTTTCTTGCCTAGGCTAGAGTGAGTGCTGTGGCATCAGCCCTAGCCACAGCAACCCTCCAACTCCTGGGCTCAAGCAATCCTCCTGCCTCAGCCTCCCAAGTAGCTGGGACTACAGGCATGTGCCACCATGCCCAGCTGATTTTTATATTATATATATTAGTTGGCCAATTAATTTCTTTCTATTTTTATGGTAGAGACGGGGTCTCGCTCAGGCTGGTTTTGAACTCCTGACCTTGAGCAATCCGCCCGCCTTGGCCTCCCAGAGTGCCAGGATTACAGGCGTGAGCCACCGCGCCCGGCCTTTTTTGTCTTTTATTGAGACAGAGTCTCACTCTGTAGCCCGGGCTAGAGTGCCATGGCGTCAGCCTAGCTCACAGCAACCTCCAACTCCTGGGCTCAAGCGATCCTCCTGCCTCAGACTCCCGAGTAGCTGGGACTACAGGCACGCGCCACCACGCCCGGCTAGTTTATTCTATGTATTTTTAGTCGGCCAATTCATTTCTTTCTATTTATAGTAGGAGACGGGGTCGTCGCTCTTGCCTCAGGCATGGTCTGCGAACGCCTGGGAAACTCAAGGCGATCCTCCCAGCCCTGCAGCCCTGCCTGGGCAGTAGAGTCACCTGCGCCACGCCCAGGCCTTGCTTCGGACATCCGTGGTTTTCAGCCTCCTCTGCCACGGTTGAGGCCACCGCTCTGTGGCGTAAACTGCGCCCGGCTTCTCTCCTGTGGTCTCGTAACAGTAACTGGCACCTGGCGGGCTTGTTACTGTTCCTGAACCGAGGAGGGGCTAGAAATACAGTCATGCTGCAAAAAAGAAATTTGGAATGGAAAACACCTCCCCCAGGGGTACCTCTGCCTCCCCCGGCCTCAGCTGACGCGAGCCAGTGGTGTGGCACTGTGAGTGCCCTTGGGGATAAGAAAGGACCGCTCCCCAGGCAGGTTGGGACGCCCCACCGAGCTCTGGGTGCCCAGAGTAGAAGGCGCCCAGCTCCCTGCCGAGACCTGAGCATGCACCTGCGCCCGGGTGATCACCTGACCTCCTTCCTTCAGCTCTGATGTCACCTGGTACCCACGGCCTGGGCGTTGGTGGCCGGTGCAGCAGCCCTGATCGATTTGGCCCCGTCGGCCTCACCTGTTACCTACTTTGAACTCTACCTTCTCTTCCAGCTGCTGCAAGGCATAAAGGGACTGACGCAGGTGAAGCCCTCCGCAGTGTCTGACGCAGCCTTTGCTCAACAAACCGTGGTTTTTTTTTGCCCTCTTGACGATGGATGGTAGCAGCTCTTTCTCAACAGCCCTGCGAGGTGCTTAATCCTCCCTGCTGAGCGCGGCGTTCCAGGCAGGCAGTGGCGAGGAGTGAAGCAAGAAAGATGTAAGCAGGGCCAAACCTGGGCCTGCCCTTGCAAGCCACTTGAAGAACTTGGCCTTGATCCTGAAGTCAGTGGGAGGCCACTTAAAGCAAGCTATTTCACCATAAGCAAGCCCAAAGGGAGACGCGGTAGATTTGCGTTTTAGAAAAGAACCCTGGGTGGATGAAGTTGGGGGCGGGCCAGCCTAGCAACAGGAGGCTCACCTGGCGGCAGGTGAGTAGTGGCGATGGCCCGACCTAGGGCTCCAAGAGTGGGGTCTGTCCCGAGGCAGAGCCGACCGACTATGCACGCCAGGCCCAGGGAAGCTTCCAGATTCGACCCAGGTGGCCACAGGTATTTCCCCATCTACCTGTGGCTCCGCACAGCCTGGCAGCGCGTCCCGGCCCTCTCCGAGGGGGAGGGGGGCTGCGTGTTCCCGCCTGCAGCCCGCCGGCTGCTCCGGGGCTTGGCAGGGGAGCCGTCACGACAGCCCCACCGCACACGTCGCGGCTGGGCCCGGCGCTCTCAAATGGCTCCGACGTGGTGTGAATACACTCTTGTGTCTTTTTGCCATCTGCTGCTGTCATTAAAAAATTACATTTCCATCTGCTTCACACTTCTCTCCCCTCCCAGCCTCCCTTCCCGGAGGAACACGGCATCCATCCCAGGTTTCGGGACCAGAGCTCTCCCCTTGCACCTTGGAACTTGGGACCCCCTCCCTCCCGCCAGGGTCAGGGGTCACGGGCTGTGTCGGCAGCTAGCACAGGGGGTTTCCATCCACTTCCTCTTCATTCACCATGTGTGTGGCCCCCGCTCCCCCCATCCCCACTTTGGGGGAGGCATTCGCAAAGCTTTTTTTTTTTTTTTATTGTTGGCTTTGGCATTAAAAATAAATGAAAAATAAACCACTGCCATTAGCATCCATTCCCCCAGGATGTATTTCAAGCAGCGGTCCCCGGCCCTTTTGGCACCAGGGACCAGTTTCGTGGAAGACAGTTTTTCCAGGGACGGGAAACGGGTGGGGTGGGGCAGCTGGAGAGCCCAGGTGGTCTACGCAGCCCAGTCCCTAGTAGGCCGCCTCCCGGCCCTCGGCTGTGGCCAGGGGGCGCGGGTTGGAGACTGCTGGTTTAAAGAAGAGACTCAAAAAATAAGAATCATGGAGTGGCGGTGTTTTGGGTTCAAAATGAATCCTCCTTCTGAGCTATCCCCAGAGAGGCACCCGCCCCGATGCCTGCGTAGCGCCCCAGCCTCTAACGGAGTGCCAGGAGTGCGGGGTGGAGCCCAGCGACCCGGCGAGGCTGTGGCCACACGGGCCGGCCCTGCTGCTCCCAAACACAGCTGCGCAAACACCTGCGTCGTCTCCGACATCTTAAACCGCGTGCCGGGCGTCCTTCCAGGTTCCCTGCGCGTGTTCGCCTGCGTCAGCTTCCCTGCAACCTACTGTCTCCGTTTGAAGATTAGGGAAACTGAGGCTCAGAGAGGCAAAGCGACTTGCTCGAGGTCACACAGCTGACGAATGGGGTTCGGGAGCGACATCGTCTTCGGCTGGGAAGCACGCCCCAAACAGGGTGCCAGTGGGAGTGGCTCATGCTCCGTGGAAGGGCAACCTCAGCAAGCGCCAGGAAGGGGCCGGAGAAGGAGCTGGTGCCGTCAGCGAGCAGGTTCCCCCAAGCCAGGCTCAGCAACCCCTCCCGCCCGGAACCTCTGGGCAGCTGTGAGGCCTCCCTACTCCATCCAGCTGTGGCCAGCGGACCATGGGACGGGCCCCGAGGAGCCGGGTGGCAACGCACACCACGGACCCAGGCCTCCCGCGTCAGGCTCTGCACTGGAACCACGCCGAGCGCGCTACGGTCTGGGAAGCTCGCCCGCTCCTCGGCGCTGCCACCGCGCCCCCACCGCGGGGCAGGAAGCTGAGCTGCTGACCCGCCGCCCTGCTGGCGTGGGGCAAGGGCGGCTCCTCCGGCCGGCCTGGGGGAGCCCTGCCCCTGCCCACCTGCTCCTGCCCCGCAGGCGGCCCTGGAAAAGGAGGAGGCGCCGGCAGCGGGGTGCCAGACACTGGTGGCACCAGCAGCACCCGCGAGGTGTGCCCCCTGGTGGGCATGACAGCCGTCCTGGCGAGCTGGCCCCGGGGCCAGGCCGGCTCTGCGGGCACAGGCAAGGGGTGGCGGCAGTAAAAGCGACGGCCACAAAGCCAGTGGTCCCTGAATGTGGGAAGGGCCATCACGGCGATTTGGGGGCTGACGGCTTGGAGGATGGTGGGGCAGAGCATGGGGAGAGCCCCGGGGGCAGGGGGCAGCCGGCAGGTGGAGGCGAGAGGAGGAAGATGGTAGCGCCGTCTTCCTCTGCCCCGAGTCTAGACGTGAAGGCGGGACACACAGTCTGGCTCCGGCTGGCAGTGCCCCGGCCATCGGGTTGTCGCTAAATGTGTGTATCTTTCCGTACTGTTGACTTCATGCTTTGTTATTATAAAACCAATTTTTTTTTTTTTGAGACAGAGTCTCACTTTGTTGCCCAGGCTAGAGTGCCGTGGCATCAGCCTTGCTCACAGCAACCTCCAACTCCTGGGCTCAAGCGATCCTCCTGCCTCAGCCTCCCGAGTAGCTGGGACTACAGGCACGCGCCACCACGCCCGGCTAATTTTTTTTTTTCTATATATATTAGTCGATTAATTTCTTTCTATTTTTAGTAGAGACAGGGTCTCGCTCTTGCTCAGGCTGGTTTGGAACTCCTGAGCTCGAGCGATCCTGCCGCCTGGGCCTCCCAGAGTGCTAGGATGACAGGCGTGAGCCACCGCGCCCCGCCATAAAACCAATTTTGATTCAAGCCACTCATGTTACTGCTACGGCCTGAAGGTTGGCGTGCTGCCCCCAAAATCCATACCTTGGAACCTCCTCCTCCCCAGTGTGATGGGATTGCGAGGTGTGGGGGGGTGGGGGCGCTGGGGAAGTGACGAAATCACGAGGGCTCCACCCTCACGAGCTGCCCGGCCCCAGCTGCCAAGTGAGGACGCGGCACACGGGGCGGCTTTGGAGCAGAGAGCAGCCCGGCCGGCCGGGCACCAGGTCTGCTTCTCCACCTTGCACCTCCAGCCTCCAGAGCCGTGAGCCGCAAGTTCCCGTCGGGTGTCGGTGCCCCGGTCTGGTCCGTGGTATCTGATCGCAGCGGCAGGAACAGAGACAGTCACTGGGACGAGGCAGCCCACGGTGGCACGACTCCGGTTACATGACACGAGAGACCGGGAGAGACGAGTCGGCCCGTGGTATACGAGCTAGGACAGCAGCGGCCTCTCCCAGGGTCCCGCGCAGCCCTCGGCCGGGGGGCAGGAAGGCGCTGGCTCCACCGGGGAGCTGGGTCCGGGCCGGATACACGCACACGCCTGAGGAGCTCCGTGTTGGGGCGCGGTGCCCTTCACCGTACAGGCGATAACCTCCATGCAAAAGTTCTAAAGAACGCGGCAGGACGGCCCAGTGGTTTGGCGCCGGGCTGCTAAAAGCATTTCCCAGGCTGCGGGCCGGTCCCACAGAAGACGAGAAAGGAGACGTCTCTTGAGACTCAGAGGAGGACGGGCTGAGGGAGATGGTGGCTGGACCCCCTGGGCGCCCCGCTGCCGCCGCCCGGTCATGTGAGCTGCACTTGGCACACGGACCTGCGTGCTCAGCGGGAGAGGGACCCGTGCTAGCACCCGCGGGGCCGGGTGCAGAATGGCCGCGCTTTGCTCGGCACTGATGGAGGATCTCAAGGTGGCAGCAGCAGGGCGTTAAACGCAGGGTGGGGCTTCCGAGCGTGCGAGGGGCCCTGTTGCAAGGCGAGGCGCACATGCCTGGGGAGCCGGCCCGGCCGGGGGGCTCACCGTACCCCTGGGACTCGGCACCGTGTGTTACCGCGTGGGCCCTGCAGCTCTGCTGTCTGAGCACGGGCGGGCCGGGTGGTCCTGCCAGCCACCCTCGGTCGGTGACTTGGGGAAGGGGAGGCCGCAGACCCCATGCCTCAACCCTCGGGTTGCCTCCACACTGCACTCCCCCCACCCCCCCGCCGAGGCCTCAGGGGGGCCTAAGCCCAGGTGCCCACAGGGGTCACTGGCCCCATCAGCCCCCTCGTGAGCTCCTTCCCTCTCCCCACCACCCCTTTGCAGTGAAGGGTTGAACTGTCACCAAGGAAAGGCCTGGCCTTTGCCCTCGGCTTGTGGGAGGCCGCCTCTGAGCCCGTGGGCTGTCTGGTAAGAGTGTCCTTGCTTACCTGGGCATGGGCCCCCCTGTAGAATCTCTGCTAACGATGGGGGTACCAGCTCAACCTCTGGCGGGGCCAGAGGCCAAAGCGGTGTCAGCCACACCCATGAGACTGCAGCCCTAGGCTGGGCATGCTGGCTCACGCCTGTCATCCTGGCACTCTGGGAGGCCGAGGTGGGTGGATTGTTTGAGCTCAGGAGTTCAAGACCAGCCTGAGCAAGAGTGAGACCTCGTCTCCACTAAAAAAAAAAAAAAATACAAAGAAATTAGCTGGACAACTAAAAAATACATAGAAAAAATGAGCAGGGCATGGTGGTGCACACTTGTAGTCCCAGCTACTCGGAAGGCTGAGGCAGCAGGATCGCTTGAGCCCAGGAGTCTGAGGTTGCTGTGAGCTAGGCTGACACCACGGCACTCTAAGCCTGGGCGACAGAGACCCTGTCTCAAAAATACAAAGATTGCACCCCAATAAAGACTCTACATACCCAGGCTGGGGGAGCTTCCCGGGCTGGCTGTACTCAGCATGTGTTGTCACACATCATTGTCAGGAGAAGCTCACACCTTCTCTCTTGTTCCCCCTCCCCCCTGCTGACTTTGACCCTTAACCTCGTAACTGCGGGCTGCAACTAAGCCTCGACTGCGACTGCAATGGCCTTTTTGCGTCCTGCAAGTCCTCCTAGCGGATGATCAAACCCGAGGGTGGTCTTGGACACCCCGGAACGGCACTTCCCACCACGCCACTGTGCAGCCCGGGACCACGTCCCAAATCAACTCCTTGCTCCGAACCCTCCGCTCAGGCTCTGCTTCTGGGGGAGCCCAACCAAGAGGGACGGCGACACCCCGGAGAAGCCACCGGAAAGGAATACACACACAAGTGCCCAGGGCAGAGTGGCCCACGGGAAGATGGGGACACCAACAATTTGATGTTCTTTGGAAAAAACAGAACAAAGCAGATGCAGTGTTGCCCTCCCATCCCAGGGACCAGCGTCGCCAGGTCCCACAGCTGGTAGGGATGGAACTGGGACTCTGACGAGGTCCAGGGGACCGCAGAGCCCGGGCCCTGGGCCACCCTGAGCGGCTCAGACCCCCCAAAGGCCCGTCACAGCCAGACTGGCCCCACCGTGCTAAGCCGCTCGAAGCCGAAACCCACCTCTCTACCCGGGTGTGCTCCGTGTCTCCTCCTCCCAATCCAAGAAGCGGGATGTTCGGTACGGAGGATCTTTATTTATAATGCAAAACAGAAATTATAAATCACTTTCTGGACTGTTCCAGTCTCTGTAAAACAACGTGTAGAAAACGGGGCCACTCCTCTCGCAAGAAGTTCTCGTCTGTGTTGACCCTGGGGCCTCGTGTCCGCTGGGGGGACATCTGTCCAGGAGGGAGCCCCTCCCCGGGAGCCCGGCAGCCATCACCACGGCGCCACCTGTCGCCAGGCTGGGGTCAGCAGGAGCGACCTCTGTAGGGGGTCGGAGGTCTGGTCCGCTGCTCAGGGCCTAGGAGACAGCGTTCTGGAAGCGGGCGAGCCGGATTCCTCGCCGGTCCTGCCACACCGCTCCTGCAGGGGGCCGGGTTCACCCAGCGTCCGTTCTGTCCACACCTGCCCCAGGCAGCCAGGCGCGTCCCCAGACTCCCGGGCAAGGGGCACTGGAGCGGGAGCCGCGTGCAAATCCCTGCCCTGGGACTTCTCAGGCTTCGGGCTCGGTTTCTCCGTCATCCGTGCAGGACCCCGACTCGTCCAGCCAGGCTAGGAAAAGAAAATTGACGCCTGTGGGGTCCCTCCCCAGCCCAGCCGGCCCCTTTCCCTGGGAGCTTCGGGGCTGGGGCTCCCTTGGTGTCTGGCATCACCGGAGGCTGAGAGGGGACCCCGGTCTGGCTGGGTCTCTCGGGGGTCTGCGGGCACCCCCATCCCAATGCCCAGTCCTCTGAAGTCTCTGGCTGGGGTGCTGCGACAGCACCCACCGGGTCCCGCTGCCCCCTGGCTCAGTCTCTTCTCACGCCTCTCGGGGAAGAGGGAGAGAGCGGATCAGGAGCGACCCACCCGCGGTGGGTCCACAGAGGAGTGGGGGGGGGCAGGGGAGACTGCTCCAAGTCCCCCGCGCGGGGGCGTCGGAGGGAGACCCTGCTCCAAGGTGCCCCGGTGGGTGGGTGTGGAGCCTGCTGCCCAAGTGCCCGAGCGGGGATGGTGGGGGGCGAGACCTGCTCCAAGTGCGGGGGTGGGGCAGGCAGAAGACCTGCTCCAACCGTCCCCGGGATGGTGGGGGGAGACCTGCTCCAACGTGCGCCGCGGGGATGGTGGTGGGGAGACCTGTCCAAGTGCGCCCGGGGGATGTGGGGGGGCGAGACC